AAAAAAAAAAAAATCCGCTAAACATTGGAACGACAAAAAAAAAAAAAAAATCCGCTAAACATTGGAACGACACCGAGACGATAAGCAAGTGAAAAAAAAAAAAAAAAGCGATCCCCACGAGAATCTTATCCTCAGCCCGCAGGGACCTTATTTGGCGCTGTCGCCCCTACAAGAGACGACGGATAATCACCTCCTCCCCCTCCTCCTCCTCCTCCCAGCCTGACTTTCCCAATTTGGAAAGGCGGCAACATCTCCTGCCAAGCGCATTGCCTGACTGCAAATGCCATCTCCAACACGTGGTCCACTATCACCCCATCAACCCCATAATGGTGTTGAAAGTAGATCACCTCCGCTTCGTTATTCAGCTCCCCGTAGGTGAAGAGGAGGAGGCCATTCTCTCGGGCCCTCGCGCCAACCCGTTTGTCGTCTAGCGCAAGGATGGCTGCCACGTCTGCAACCACTCCGTCCAGCCCGTGGCGCAGGCAATGATTAATCGCTTCGTCGACGGAATTACGGCGGGGATCGGAATGGACGTGGGGTCTGCCGCCGTCGGTGAGGAAGAAGACGGGGAAGGTTCCCTGAACCTTCTTCTTCAGCAGCACAGCAGCGTCGGGGTGAAACGTGGAGAAGAAAATCCTCCTCCCTCTCCCATTCTCTCTGATCACATGCATCACCGCGTCAATGGATCTGGTCAGCTCTTCGACGGCCACGTTGGCCACCTCATCAAATTTCATTTCCACATTAAATCCACAAGAAAAGGGAACGGCATCCAGAGCCTCAGCGAGGGTGCAGAGCGAATCTTCGACGTCGCACGCCCATGGAATCAACGTCGAGGGATCGAAGCTGGACCGCCGCACAAGCTTCTCCCCTGCCTTTCCTCGGCGCGCAGTGTGCGGCATCTGCGGACCTATTCCGCGGAAATCTTGGGTCGTTAATTGGCAGATCCTTTTGGCGCCATTTTCCCGCGTAATTATCCAATCATCGTGGAAGATGATAGGCACACCGTCGGCGAGCACTTGCACGTCAAACTCGACGAAGTCTGCCCCGTGCCTGACTGCAGAGTTGAAGGACAAGAGCGTGTTCTCTCTGATCGACGGGCGCACTTGATCGAAGGAATGAACCTGGTCTCCTTCCCTCTGTTCCTGGACCTGTTTGCGCACCACATTCTTAGTCTTGTTTTGACCCGAGCCTCGATGACCGACAACGAGCATGCGCCGGACTCCTTCGCGGGATGTCAGCTCGTCCCATAACTGACGGAAGTGCGACGCAGCAGCGGGGGGAGAATGAGGAGGAGGAGGAGGAGGAGGAGGAGCGCGAGGGGTTGAAGAGGTGGGGGAGACAGCTGCTGAAGGCGGCGATGGCAACGAGGGTGGCAGAGTCAGGGATGGAGAAGGAGAAGGGGAGGAAGGCGGAGGAGGCCGTGCGGAGAAGGAACGCGAAGCTATCGCTCCTGGCGTCTGCATCCCGCCGGCCGCGGCCTTAGCTTTCGCTTCATCCTTAGACTGCAAGCGTGCCGCCATCTCCGTCGTCTTCACCTCCTTCCTCTCCATCACCCCTCTCGTCGTGCCTCTGGCGCTCACCAGAGTCAAGCTCTGGCTATGGCCGCTCGCCTGGCGGAGGCTCAAGCGCACTTCCGCCAGCAGCCCGCCCGCTCTGCGCGCGCTTCCGCACGCGTGCGCGCAATGCATCACCCTGTCTGCCACTGCCGCCATCGCCCCTTTTGTGCACCCCTCCCCCAAAGGGACAGGAACAGTAATTTCCGAGCGCGCGCGCGCGCGCCGTTGGGGACAAGGGGAATATCCGCGCCGCCTTGAACTCTCGATGAACTTTCGTCGATTCGAGGAATCTGACAGACGCGCGCGGTATCCAAAGGGCAGTGGCCAGTCGATTAAATTCCATTTTATTTATTTTTAAAAGGCCGAGGACCTTGAGATATACGTCGGTATTTCAATCGTTCTTGGGTGCACCAACTGGGCCGGTTGGTTAATGTTTTTTTTGTTTTTATGTATTTTTATTTCTCCGTCCCCCAAGCGGCGCAAGATTGTCGGAAGCGGATAAGACCCCAACGTCATCGCGGTGCAGAGATTTTTTTTTTTTTTTTTTTTTTTTGTGCAGAGAATTTGTGCAGTCCAGGTGGGCCCAACACAAAAACATGTGGGCCCAAGGTCCAACAACAGACTGGGGCGCAATCCCACCCGCAAAAGGGTCTCGATTGAGCGCCTGCATGTGGATGCGTTTTATGTTCAGATGCAGAAAAGCAGATCGATAGCGATTTTCTCCACCTCGCCTCAGGACGTCCAGATTCAGGCATTAAATCTAATCCACTTCGCTACCCGTCTTCCCCCGAATACAACGTACGGTCATTATAGCTGTTCTTAGACTGAAAGATACCCGAAATTCAACTATAATGACCGTGCCTTGTATTCGGGGGAAGACTGTACTGGGACTGTAGGTAGTGCGAGGCGAAATTGAGAGAAGAATATAGCTTTTTTTTCCAAAAGCAAACGAGGCTCGAGGCTTGGTGCGCAGTGCCACGTGTACACGGGCTCGCACGGCGTGGACACAAAACTGTCTTTGTCTTTCTTTTTTGTTTCCCTACCAGCCTTAGGACCTCACCCGACGGTAAGAAAAACGAAAAGAAACGACCTCGTAAAACGCGAGGGCTCGCGAGGCCCTATTTCACCGTTTCGCCTCCTTTCTGTGCTCACTGCCGCATAGCACACGCGATTATCCACGCTGCGATGCCCTAACGAGTCTCTGTGAAGCCTGGCAAGCAAGCACTACCGTCCAAGAATTTGGTGTCCAGAGAAGCCTGGCAAGCAAGCACTACCGTCCAAGAATTTGGATGGACACCGTTTGGACCTTTGTGGTGCACTCGCGAGGATCCACAGGGCCTCCACCATCCTCGCCGAGGACCTACGGGTTCGTGTTTTTCGCAGGCTGGGCGGCAGTCTTCCATGCGTTTTCCTCGCGAACCCTTTTTCTGACAGAATTTGTGCGTTGCTCCTGACAAGAATCGTGTGCATACATGTGGAAAAATGACCACGAGGACCCCACATTCTTGTCCAGAGTGGCATGGGACAGCATTGCCCAACCAAGATCCAAAGGGGGGCTGGTGATTTTGGAACCACAAGACCAACTAAAAGCACTATCTTTCAAAATCATCACCTGCCTGTTTATGGGAAATGACGTCCTGTTCGCAGCCCTTAGGCTGCGGTATAGTGTGCTTCCGCGTCTGTGACAAGGTGTCGCATTTTTGGCGGCGGGCGACCAGGACGCAAAGTGGATTCTTAGGGGGCAAAAAAATTGGGGGGACCGGTCCTTGGCAAAACTGCGGACTACCTACAGCTAGCTCTGCTAGAACCGGGACTTTTGGAAAAMGGAAGGACCGGTCCTCGGGTGGAAGTGGACCCCAAAAAGAAGTGGGGGGCGTTGGACCGGTCCCCGAGTAGAAGCGGACGCCAAAAAGAAGTGAGGGCATGTGAACTGCAAAAGGGCCCTCAGGCCCAGGCATTGAGCCCCGTCTTCTAAAAACAGGGAGGTCAGGCACAACGAAATAGGCGTTTTGCAAGAGGCAACTTTGCCGATTTTCTGTGCTCAGATGAACATGCACAAAAATTTGA